AGGTAATAGAACAGTTTAAGGATAAGAAACTCTCTTACATCTCTTTTCTCCTTCACTCACATAACACACTCTTTAACACATAAATACATTTATTGAAAAACTATTTTCAATAACAATAACGTTATAACATTTTAAATTTGAAACTTAAATTGGATCACTTTATTTGTTGTATCTTTTAATATCTTAATAGACATGTATATAGGATAGGTGGTAAAATTATAACTTAAATGAGTATTTTCTTAATTAATTCTACTTACGAGTGCAAGGCCCCAATTAAAACCTTATATAATTAATTTACTATCATTATTAATGAAGGAAACTCATAAAACCATTCGTTTAGAAAATATGTCAATATGACAGGAACTAATAAATCCTATTTTGTACTATCATCGTGAATGAAAAATTTGTCCGCATGTCTGTTACTCAAACTATAAAAATTCTCGCAGTAATTTCTATATTAATTTCTATCCATATAAATCTCTTAAATGGAAGAGCCGGATACAAAACATCAAACTTAACTCCGGCAAAAACTAGTTATTTATAGACATCATTACTTAATTACTACTTTTTTTTTGTAAAATAATGAAGATTGATAACAAATTACTACCAATAGATTAATAACAGCGGAATGTTGTAGTAATAAATATAGAAAAAAAAACTGTAACACAGATTGCGTGCTTATTTAAGAAACATCAGAATGTCATAGTAGAATGTTAAATTTGAAAATGTCTATATAATAGCAGTAATAAATTAAAGTTAAACGCTAGAGCCATTTTTAGTTTATAAATTGTATAAACTTTGAAACCTAAACCTGAACACTATTAAATAAAACATCATTCATTTAAATGATTAAACAAGTTTGTCAGTCATTGTTTCGTGTATCAAAGGGCACAATAAGATGTGTATGTGGGTCGATTGTAACAGTCGATGGGCAGAGGTGCCGGCCAGTCCTCATTGCATCCGCTACTGGCCGTATTCACATTGTTATACGAAATGACTTACTTATTATTTTACTTACATACACTAAGCATTAGTTGATGAACTTAATATTTTGACATCAGCATCTTAAAATGCTTTGAAACTCATTTAATAGAATCAAAAGCTTATGATTCGACTGTTGCTGGCCCAAAAAAAAGATACATTTCAGTATTTTCGAAAGGAAGACTTCAAGGTCAGAAGAAACGTTGAAAGCTACATACTAAAGCCTGCCACATAATTCGTGGCAATAACACTTACCAGTTCAGTCTCACTTTAAACTCATTAAATAGATGTATTGGTTGTTTTATTAGTAAAGATCAGCATTCTACTAGGTAACACATGTACATGCCCAGTAAGTCTTGTTATGCAAGATATTCTATTATTGTTTGGATAATAGAATACACAAAATTTATTATATCACGTAAATATTCGTACTATGAAAATAATCCACTATCTTTGTAATCTTTAAATACATTGTTAGTATAAAATGTTTTACCGAAAATAAAAAAAGAATATTTTCGATTATAATCCAATACTATGTTTATTTAATTTTTTGCAGTCTCAATATAACTGGATTATGTTTGACATTTAAATACATATAAATATTTGTAATAAATTTGCAATCTTTATCAATGCACAGTCGTAATAATTTTTTTTTTTTTGGTAATTTGAATATTAAAATCTTCTACAACACTTAAATGACAGAATTTGAAAACAAAATAAATTAATATTTGTGGACAAAAAAAATGTATAGTATTTAAAGCACAGTTTGTAGTTTTTAATTTAAATAAAACGTTTTTTATCATATATCCGATTCCGAGCTAATGGAAACAAACACCGAGCGATGGTCAGCGCCATTCACTCCGAGCGAAGTGTTTTTTTTTATGTTATATAACAACAAAAATTTTCAACTTTTGCTTGCAAGCAATTGCACCTTTCATCTATCAATGAGACCGCCATAAAATGAACTTTGCTCGAACACGTAATTCCACTAAGTGTATTGAATTCGACGGGTCACAATAATTTTGATTACATCACTCTATCAACTTAGCAGTCATAACAACATATTCACACTCACTCAATCTTGCGTTTGCCATAAAAATATATTACCTCGATAGTTGTTTTTGGTCATTGATCATTGAGTATAGACATGTAACAACTTTTTTGGTACTTAAATTATTATTTTTTTTTTTGCACTGAGTGCCAATATGACCACGAACTTTTCATTTGGTATTTTAAATCAAAACATAAATCATACATTCATGATTCACTTTGTAGTTTTGTGTAGTTGTCAATAAGTATAATAATATTTTATCAGTTCTAACTGCGTCCGTGTAAATGGCTTTTAATACTCGCAGTTTAATCTATAAAATATAGTCACGATTTGTCTATACAAATATTTATTTACTAGATGAAAGCGTAGTAAATTGTTAACTAAATGGAAGAATGGCTAAGAAAGTCAATAGGTGTACAGGAAATCATGGAATTTGTTAACAAAGAGAAATACGATCGACTACTACTCTAAAAGCTTTCACGATCTAATTTTATCAGAAACTTGATTAGATAAGGTTGAACATTCGTCCTAAATAGCGCTGGAATTGGATAAATTTTTAATTTCATTATTTTATTTATTAACAAACTAATTAAAAATATAAAAGAATTACAAAAAATATTCTTTGCATATTAATTATTAATGTGCGTTATTGAAATGATATCACGTAAAACATCTGCATTTATTTTTATGGAATTTTGTATGCAGTTAACTTGAATAACTAATAGGGATTTTTGGTACCGAAAATCTCACAGACTTTTTGAAATAAATAAGGATAATATTCAGTTGCGTAATACATAATTTAAGTGTAATTTGTATAACATACTCAAGAATAGTAATTATGAACATTATACTGTGAAATCAAATAAAATCTCAATGACAATCAGGTCTCTTATTAGATGTCAGAGCATCGCTTAATTACATTAGCGCTTTGAATGCACCAACGCGCTTAGCATCTCTTAAAATATATTACTGAGAATTGTTATAAGAAAATTTAATTAAATAAATCTTAATTATCATTAAGATTTAAATATTGTTATATTACCTTCAAAAGAACTGAGTGTTTTTCCATTGTTTATAATAATATTATAATAAACATAAGTCCTCGACGGAAACCTGATATCTTCTATGTTAAAAAATAATTGTTAAATTTTTAAGCTATATAAATTTTCTATCAAAAAACTTTGTACAAATGATACATTCATAGTATAACTGCTAGAAAATTTCGAAGAAAGGCAGCGATAAATAATACCGTTTTACTAACGTATTAGTGAATTCAACATAGATAAAGGGAAATTATAACATTTCTGTTATACCTGAAATATGTTAATATCTAGAGTTGAGCGTAAAAAGTAATGGATGGATCCCCATTCCTTTACGCTTCCATATCCCACCTTAATGGAGAAAGATGCCTTTAACGCATTTATTATTCATGGTTTTATTTTACATTACATGCTTCAAATGTAGTCAATAAATCCTTATATATATAATCGCTACTCCCGTCTGTGTGAACATAGCCGAATTAGAGCCGTCAGGACAAATTGTAGATGTCATTACGATTTGTTGAACTGCAGCAGTGTTCTGTCGCTGATGGGGACGGGTCGGCAATCCTCGTCAATGGAAATACATGACCCATCTTTATAGTTTGTTTTAAATAAGTGTAAGGTGTTTTTAATATGATTGTGATTGCAAGTATAAGTGTTTGTAGATTGTGATATATTGTTAATATATTCAGATATTTTATTGCACATGTAAGTATTTTATCTTTATACATTTTTTGTTAGCTTCATGCTCAAAACCATCTATTCAATAAAAAATCATTCAAGTACACATGTTGTGAAAATTACGTATATTACAATTATGTTCTTCAATTCCTATTTACAATTTCCATAATTTTTTGAACTCTATTTCTAACAGACTATAGTATTTTAATTTTATGTATTCCCATATAATATTTTTTTAAAGGGAAAATATTTAACATTATACATTTCTATTAAATTCATTTCAAAATTCTATGCTATGTCATCCCAAAACCATACGAGACGCTACTGTACTTGAGTTAATTTAGCCACGCATAACATCCAAAAACACTTGAACTCTTTATCTCTTCAAAAAAGGACGTCTTTAACCACTTTGATTTAGAAATGGAGAGATCGAGACGGGTCATATTACACTGGTCATATTTAGCCGACATAAAGTAGTGTGTGTGCACTCTGATTCCATATTTCCGCTGAATACCCTATGCGAAAATTGAACTTATAAAAATGAACCCTATATACGTTTTAAAAGAGTTCAGTTTCAATTAAAATGTATACAAGTGTCAACAACGGAAAGGATTTTTAAGAAAATTGTTAGGCTACGTAAAGAATACATTGCTGTTACATCACATGTAGCAATGAATAAATTGAATGCCTATATATCTCTCCTCTTACATAATTAGCATAGCGAAGCTATAAAGATTTTAAGTGGTAAGTAGTATTAGCTTGTACTTAATATTACTGAACAATAAACTTACTGCTCTTGCTTACGATTAAATCGATGATAAATATTAAAATGGTCGTACTGTGACGTCTTGAGTTACAAAAGAATATTAAGAAAATCACGAACATAGTTTGTTGATTATAATTATTTAGGAAAACAGATTTTATTGAGAAGTAACACCGGCAGTGTATTCCGTTCAAGAAATGAGTTAACTTTAATTAATGCTGTCTGTTTTATTGCATTTCAATATACAAAACTGGTTTTTCGACTTTCTTAACAACTTTGCTTCGTAACAATTGAAAGGTATCCGATTCATTAAAAGTGAATCACGCCTTATATTGCTCGTTTTGCCCAAAAAATTATCATAAATACTACAATGATAATTTTAAAGTTTAGTGATATTAATATCAAACTAGTCATATATCGCGTTAAATTCTTTAATTAATGCTTTTTTCTCTTTGTTGAAGATAAATGACATTAATCGAGCAAGATGGGATTGCGGGTAAGACGAGGCTTATACGTCACCATCATACTCATATCCTATGGAATAGCTGATGTTGACTTGAGTTTGCCAGTAGATTTAGCAGTCGAAGAGAAAGGTAAGAAAAGAACAATAAAGATCATACTATAAGATCATATAAAAGGTAAAATATATTTATTTTTAAGTAAAATTCCCACGTAAAATACAATATCCATATTGGAAATGTAAGAATCATAAATTGGAACATTTTCTCAATCAGAATGATATATAATATGTCATATGAGATCCAAGTTTACCGAGTTCAAATTGAAATCGAAACTGTTCATTCAAAAATCTTGTGATAGGATTATTTGCACACAGACAAAATGAGAAACTTGAAAACTATAGACGTTTATTGAAAAGAAAGGAGTACATTTATTTAATATGAAGTACCTTTAAAATGAATTATAATTACCTGTTTTGTAGTATGTATGACTGTTGATAAATTATGATAATTTTTCAGCGCCACAACAAACTACCCTCCCTGCGACATCTACGTCACCTCTCCCTACCACCATTAATGTGTCAACATCTACATACGCCACAATCATTCCTCCTATCCCACCCAGTGATCGAGATAGATTCCTCACCTTCGCAGAATCAGGTCACCACCAGACTTTTATGTTTGCCAAGGACAATACCTATATACAGCTCGACGGAGATATTATCCAACGATTTCAGTTAAGGTATTACGTTGTTCAATTTGATCTTAATATAAAATAAAAAAGAAATCTTTTTCACCCCAACTTCCTTCACAAATTGTATCAAAAGGTCGGAAAGTTTCCTTTTAAACATGACATTTTTATATCCTATTTATTTCTGTCGTTCTAATTGAAATGTTAAGTCGTCTTAAATAAATGGTATTCAATTTAATACTTGGCCGAAGAAATGAAAAATATAAAATTTATTTCGCTCCAATTTCAGATTGTGTAGAGAAATATCGTTTAAATTTAGAACAAGACTTCCCCACGGACTTTTAGTTTATCACAATGTTAAAAATCCTGTATTCAAAATGCAGCCATACGCATTATATGTTATTGTTGAAAAAGGCGAACTTAAAGGTAAATAAATACATATTTTAAATATAATATACAAAAATAAAATCGAAGTATCTTTGTGTAATAACAAAATGAAATATAGGTAATATTCAAGATATTAAGAAATTAAGAAGTAATTTTTATGTAGGTACATGTAGAAAACTGTTTTATATAAAATTGCAATTATGAAATTTTACCACATAAAAAGCATTATAATATAGATTAGCTAGTGACTTTAGAAGCAAAATAAATTGATAATATCCTATGAAGGTTAGTTTAGATAGTATTTTTAATTCGAAATAATAATTTCAGTTGTACATGTATTTGGTAAGCACTTAACCTCAGTGACAGTTGGCAGAGCTTTGAACAGAGATCAGTGGCATAGCGTGGTTGTTACCATAGATGTGCATGGAGCAAGACTTATAGCCAAAGTAGACAATTTGAAAGAAGAGGTTTATCTAAAGGTATGCATTGAAACAGACTGAAGTCACTTATGAAGTATATACATATATGCTTAAAGTGAATTTTATGATTACAGGGACTAAGTTTCGATACTAATTATGGAATAACAGATAATTTAACTTCAGTTATACTTATTGGAGGTGAGTGAGGACATAAAAAATAGCATTGAATGACAAAAACAATAACTTTATACTAATATTTAAATGAAACTAACAGTAACTTGTCGTTTTTGTGTGATTAAAGTTGTTTATAAAAATAGATAAAATATATAAACTGGTTGAATATTAAGTTACACACATGAATAAATTATGGTAAAAAAATAATATTTAAATAATATATCATTTATCAGTGTGTATTAGTAATATACTGTAGAATATTTAGAAATAATTATAATCATCATATTAATGTTTCTTTTAAATGAAACTAATATTTTTCGGAGGCACTACGCCATTTTATTTTTGATAAAAAACTACATACTACCGACGTTTCGGCTTCTTTACAGCAACCGTGATCACGGGCAGACGACATGTGAATCTTAGATCTCATTATACCAATATTATTTTTAAGGTTTAAGTTCTGAAGAAAAATTACATGGAGTTAAATATATTATTGAATCTTTCGTTGGTTGCATCAGCGATATGGTTCTTAGTTCCGGTAAGGCTGCCTCCGATCTTCTACCTATAGTACCGTTGATCGCAACAAAACACGAAAACGTTAAAGAAGGTTGCATAGATAAATGTAAGACCATGGAAAACCTTTGCTTCGAAGGTTCTAGATGTATCAATGAATACAATGGATATAGATGCGACTGTTTTGGTACTTTATACGAGGAACACCTATGTGATGTGTATAGTGAGTATTAAATATATTAACGAATATTTCATAAGACCATTATAACTAGACCTTGACTGTTGCCGCCTGACCCAACATCTGTTGTATTAATTTTATGCTAAGTAAATTGCCAATTTGAACTAACCGAGGCTGACACGAGCAGTTCTTGATAATTTTCACCTTCCATCGATGTTCAAAAGCTAATAATTAAGACACATTTACTTTGGTATTTAATATAGTATTATTTCAGTACACTATTTAATATATTCATATATAATAGTCAATTTACTTTAATCTAATATTCCTTTGTAATGAATTCTAATGCTATATTTTATGTGAAATAACTGCAATTGATGTAATTAGCGGCGACAATATTAACACTGCGAGGGTCGAGCTACGTATCCTACCGAGTCTATGATTGGAAGGATCGAGTACATTCTACAAACACAAGAGTCAGCTTGCATTTTAAGGTAAAAAATACTTAAAAATCTGTATTGTAAAAGATAAACACAAAATACTATAAAATTAATTAGCAACATATAAATTCCTAGCTAAAATATTCTTATACATTCGACCTTTTGCTGATTAAAAAACAATCAAAAAAGCCAGAGCCGCTATCGACCTTCAATATCACTATCACTAAAAGTTAAAATATATTTCAGACACGTTTCGACGATTCCGCTCTTTTTTATGCAAGCGGTCAAATAGATGACAAACACCATTATATAGCGCTGTCGATACACCAGGAAAAAGTCGGGATACAAATAGATTTAGGCGACGGTCCGGTAGAGGATTATTTAGGAGTGAGAGTAAATAATAATATGTGGCACAATATAACTGTTATATTGCAAGAAAAAACAGTTCACGTATACCTCGACAATATAAGCGCAATATACGAAGTACCGGGCGACGCTAGATTTGTTTGCATCGACCCAGAAATATACATTTGTGGCGGTCCAGATTTACACAAAATGAAAGGTCTGAAATCGTTCAACAATTTCGCTGGTAATCTCAAGTACGTTTATTACAATGATGTATCGATTTTGTATGAGTTGAAGCAGAATAACCCAAAGGTTCATTATATTGGTGTATTGGATCCCGAATTCGAAGATATTGATATAGAGTTAATACCTATAACATATCCTTTCGCCACATCGCACATATGGTGGCCTTTGAATCAGAGTAATAGTATAAATCTGGTTTTCGATTTTAAAACTAGCAAGAATATGGCTGTACTAGCTTACAGTCAGATAACTTCGGGACAAGGTTATTTCGAGGTAAATAAGAACCAGTTTTAATTCATTATCACAGTTAAATTTTAAATTAATTAATCCATACACATGTAAAAGTGATTTTTTAATATAAATATACAATAAAAGTTCATTATGTTAATAATAATTACAGGTGAGAATGGTCAAAGAAGAAATTCGGTTCGAACTAGTGCCGGATGTTGGTAAAAATGTAACAGTACTGAAATCTGTTAAATTTAACGTAAGCAACGACTGGCATAATGTGGAATTGGATTATAGAAAAGGCAGAATTAAATTGACTGTGGACTATCACAACAAACACGCTCAGATGTTCGGTGAGAACTTGTTCTTTATATAAATAAATTAAAAAGTGTAGAAACATCCCAATAAATACTTTTTGTATGTAATTATTACAATTTTTGAGTCACAATTACAGGTTTAGATTTTCAATTACAAGATAAGATTGTAATAGGTAGTGGACTGAAATCAGCGAATTTAGGTCTTATAGGATGTATGAGGAACATCAAAATCAACGGTCTACAAATTGAACCACGGTAAGTTGTTTAATAACAAGGTAAAGACAAATTACTTCACAATGTTCCTTCACTAATTACTTCAGCTTTTCTGGACATTTAATCAGAATCATTATTGTATAATTAAAATTCTACAAAGGGAAGGCTTAAGGAATATTAATTACCAAACATCAGAGCCTAACATTTTGTGTCATTTGACAAAATTTCAATCAGCTTCAGGCGTTTTGATAGAATAGCACGACGGAAATTGCACATCTACATTAAACCTCTTTTCCTAATATTATAATTAACTTCTAAATTGACTGTAATTTATTTTAAATTACTATCTTATGATTTGATTTCTTTTGAATCGAAATATCCTCAAAGTAATTCAATTTTAATGAAAGATTTTACAGTGTTTGCAGTGTTTGCCATTATTAAAAAATATTAAACTAAATAAGACTTAAGCATTTCTTTATTATAACTGTTAAACATAATATCATACCTTAATTACCAGAATGCATTAAATTTTGCATTATTTTTAATTTCAAAAACATAATATATAACTAATCAAAGACATTCAACCTAATATTTGGTATAGAATAAACCATAAATATTCAGCTATCTTTCTTCGTACAAAATTTTCAGATACGTTATAAATACGGAGCGCGTGGTGGGTGAAGTGGCTATAGATGACTGCCGCTACGTGGACCCTTGTACCAGACCGAACACTTGTGAGCATGGCGGTATATGCTCTATACGAGAGGATAGGGTCATATGCAATTGTGATAACACTGGTAATTATAAAATAGTTATAGGTACAGTTTATGTACATACTTATCAAACTGTCGACTTGCTAACAATTTGTTATCAGAGTAATTAAGTAGATTGGCAACCAGAGATTCCAGGAAAACTACGTAACTTACTTATATGTATATTATAATATGAATTACGTATAAAAACTTATAACCTATACCTAAGCCTACATGATTGCCTCGATGTTAGGATAGCAATACCTTTCCATAGTTTGTGTGGTATCAGGAATTTTCTAATTCACAAGTCTTGGTCTTCGTTCCGCGGAGTCAGCAGCGTCACTCGTTATATGATATTTTATACATACAACGATATCGCCCCGGTGATGTTCATTTATTTTTTCAATATGTTGAGCGTACGTAACAATTATAAATATTTATATACTGATTGCTGTTATAGGCTACATTGGTGAGAACTGCCATTTCGCTACCTTCAGGAAGACATGTGAAGAGTTAGCCCTTCTGGGTTATACACGTAATGACGTGTACTTGATAGATATAGATGGTAATGGAAAATTTCCACCAGCTCACGTGAAGTGCGAATTCCAGATTGAAGCGGATTCATCCACTACTGTGGTTGAACATAATTTACCAAGCCAAGTGGTGAGTCCAATATAACATTACTTTTGATTAATTTTAACTTACTATTTGGAATACAAAGAAACGATATAATTTTTTACGTATATTATTTGAGTAAGTCTCTTTTTTGACCATTTTTTCTAGCACATTATAGACATATGACATAATACGCGCATCTTTCTGACCATATAAGTAACTACTTACACGCGCTTTGATTATTACTGTTGAGTTTCGTAACGTAGGCTAGTTATGACTTTCATAAAAAGAGGCTAATGTAGAAGAGCACTTAGTATATCAAAAAAATATTAGATTGTAAATATATATTCTTTAATTTTAAAAATCCAGGATGTAAGATCTGCTCTGGGGCAAGACTTCAGCTTTCATATAAAATACAGAGAGTTCACAGCAGAAATGCTGCAAGAATTAATTTCACACTCGTTGTTCTGCCGTCAATATATTAAATACGATTGTAACATGGCACCTCTGGAACTACATAGTGCTACATGGTTTATATCATCCTCGAATGATACCGTCGATTACATTGGAAACGTTAAAAAGTAAGCATTATTTATTTTTCACTACACATTATTTTCTCATTTAATCAATTTTACAAAACATTATAAAATTTTAACAATTCTTTTTTGAAAAGGTAAACAAAAAGAGGAAAATAAATCATTTATTACAGAAATTCCATTCTGAATCAGAAAACCCTGATCTAAATATATCATAGTGTAATAAAGGAAGTTAACCTTTTATATGTTCAATGCTTAACATATTGGGTCTAAAACCGCAATACTTTAAATTTCCCCCCTATACACCTTTTCGCACATTCATTCCACCTCCATAATTTAGTAAATGACTTTCGAGACGACCTTTCATTGAAATTTATCGTAAAATAAATCACCTTGCTAATGTAATTTCGATAATGCCTCATTTCGACAGCCTCGTGTATTGGCACGAATAACTAAACGACTTTGTTGTGCAAATGAATTTTAAAAGTTAACGTTGTATTACCGTACTTGTATAATATTACATCATTACAAAAATCCAAGCGTAAGAGAGGATCGTACCCATTACACACTGTTATGTAGTTGTAATATAGTGATTATTATTTTGCTAACTTCCTTAATAATTTTACCTAATGTTGACTTGAATTAATTAATAGTATTAACCTTAATTCTAGGGGTTATTGTCCTTGTGGAGTTAACGCAACTTGTGTTAATCCAACAAAATCTTGCAATTGTGACGCGAACGAAAACAAATGGCACTCTGATGAAGGAACACTCGTTGATCCCAAAAGCTTAGGCATTACGGAGATGTTCTTTCTACAACAAAAGGATTTGACTGAAGAAGCGCAAGGCAGGATTACGTTAGGTCCCTTAGAATGCGTTGAAACAAGTAAGTTCTTCGCTACAATAAACTCTTTGATCTTGTTATGAATACTACAATTTTAGATTAAGACAATGTTAGGAAATTTTACTGTTTTTATCATAATTTAACTCAACAAATCACAAAATTTATTATTTTAATATGAATTACAGATACTCAGCGTTATGTTGTAACGTTTACAACATCGCAATCCTACATAGAGGTACCCGGATGGCGAAAGGGGGATATAGCTTTTAGTTTTAGGACGACGGGTACAAGTGCGATTCTGTTATTCCAGCCGCCTATAAGACCGAATTATCCATCGTTCATGGTCGCTTTAACAAGTGGTAAGCATAACATATTCAATGTTTATTATCATTAGATCGAACTTCGTTGATCCAAAACTCTGCCTAAGTTAACAGGTCGTCAAGTCTTAAGACGGCTTGTTGATGTTAAATTAATTGCTAACAATAATAATATCAACGACGTCGTTAGCCTAACGTAACACGAGTTATTAAGAGGATTAGCGAAGGGAAGGGAGTCTTAAAACTATAATTAACAGCTGCTTTATCAAGTTTCCCCTCCCCGATACGTATAACTCAAACAAACAACTTGTGTATAAATTAATTTAAATTATACTGATATGTTATTTTCATTGATTTAATATTAAACGAACATACTTTTTCTTGAGATATTACCTAATATCGTCTTTTTTTGTATCAGAACACGAACTAACTTTCAACTTCACCCTCAATACTGGAACAACACGGAAGTTGGTCATCAACTCAAAGAGAAAACTCAATGGAGGGGAATGGCATAAAATCTGGATCGACTACAACTTCTACCACGTGAGGTTCATGCTCAACACTGAGTACCAGATGCTTAATCTCTTATTGGAGGAGGAGTTTGGACCGTTTGAAGGGTCTATGTTCATTGGAGGGGCAACTGCGTGAGTTACAATAATTTCCCTTGTAAATCTTATTATATCTTAATTAAAGTAAACCAAATCGTTATTATATGCAACACTTTCTTTTCTTTGGGTCAACAGTTATCATTTTACATTATGCATATTAAAAACCTTTGCTCAGCAGTGGGCTCTGATAGGCTGATGTTGAATAAAGAGTTATATTTTCTTAATAAAATAACGTTTATGCACTACTTAGATAGATGAATTATAATTTCAGAGAACATTTAAAGAAATCAGCTGTAAACCAAGGTCTCATTGGATGCTTTCGGGGCTTGGTTGTGAATGGTGAAATACTTGATATATATAGTTATATGTCTGTACATTTGTCTGAAATCATTAAAGACTGCAAGCCATCCTGCGTCCCTAATCCTTGTCAGAACAGAGCCACTTGTAAAGAACTTTGGTCGACTTACGAATGTATCTGCAAGAACCCGTGGGCTCACTTGGGTGAACATTGTGAAGAAAGTATGTATAAATCATTATATACTTCTCTTTCATAGTAACTATGATAGCAAAATCATTATGACTTATTAGTAAAATAAACACAGTAGTATTTTATTTGTATGGTCAAAGTAAAAAAAGTCCAGAAGATGAATAATACAGCATACATTTTGCTAATTGCTTCCTACTTGAGTAGGAAATGTTATTTGCGGGTGCAATTACTATTTGCATAACACGACTTTAAATCTTTGCTTAATTGATATTCTATAACGCACCGTGAATGTAAAATAAATAAAAAAATATTCGACGACAGAAAAAACATTGTTGCTCTTTATTTACTTTTCTCAATAGTTCTGATTACATTTCAAAATATCTTGTATTATGTTTACAAAACAAAATTGATAAAACTTTTGCTAGGTGTTTCAAAAGCAATTTTTTAGAATGTCTTCGCAATCACGAACTGAAATTAAAATTGGCGTTTATTTTATCTAGATATTAATGAAAAAGCATTGACTTTCCAAACTAAGGAGTCGTATTTGAAAAAAAACTATCTGGTCGATAACACGACAGACGCAGAAAAAGCAAGATTAAAAAAGATGATGATAGAAAACGTCCTAATGAATCTGAGAACTTACGACGACAATGCCCTAGTACTGTACGCTAATGACAATCTCAATAATTTCATACATCTCTTCATACACAATGGAACGGAAATAATATATCTGTTTAATAATGAAGATGAAATCGTTAAAATGAATGTTACTTACGAGAAAATTAACAAAGGGGAAAGTGTTCAGATCGCAATCATAAGGACGGAGAACTCGACCACTTTGCATGTTAACGATAAGAATACAACTATAAATAAAGTTGCTAAACTTCTGTCTAATTACACGAACAAACCGTGGAAGAATCCAGAATTGGGTGAGTCATGTTTAATAAACGTCTTATTAAAACTTTGCAAATGAAAATAAGAACAATGATTGATTCATTCAAATACAGTGATAGCTCTTCAACATATATTTGTTTGCCACTAACGGTATAATTATTAATTCATAATGTTGCCACAGTAAAAAACATGTGCTGTAGAGAAAAAGTAAGAATTAGTATTCAAATTAAAGTTAATATTATTAGTTTATGATATTATAGGTTTGAAATTTTTATTTACGGTTCCAAAGTAACTAAGACACAGTAGGTAGGTATTCTTATTCACAACTAACAAGTTCGAATCCTGCATAACTATAAGAGCATATTAAATAAGATGCTCCCTATAAGTTAAATATAAAAAATAAATCATCCTCATTAATAATCATTTTCTTTCCACCCTGAATACCAGAGGTAATTCGACCTCAACGACCTCCAGCGCCACCCACAGACTATTTCCAAATGAACCTGGGTGGATATGACCAATACTCGCTCCATCTAGCGTCACAAGCAGAAAACTTCCCACAAGGGGGCTACGTTGGCTGCGTAAGGGGATTTAAGATAGCCGATCATGTAGTAGATCTATCTAAAAAGGCGCAGCAAAATATTGATCAAGGTAAAAAATAAATACTAACAGATGAAATTAACATAGCAATATTGTGTAATATGGTATCGAGTTTGTACGGCTGGTATTTGGGAGGAAGGAAAAATACCAAAAATATTATCAGTAGTAATATTCAAAGTAATTATCTACACTATTTAAATAACGTCTAGAACGTTGGTTTGCAATGTATATGTAATTTTATAAAGATATTTTTAAATTAAAATTGTACCAAATTAAATAATTTTACCAAAGCTATTAATAACGCTTTAAAGAGAACACGTAAAAATCCGAACCTTCTGAATCAAAAAGACAAATAAAATTTTAAAATTGTTTTGCCTCTCATTTAAATGCCGATGAGAAAATATCGCATAGTTTCTTTATCTTTTTTTTCATCTTTATTTATTAATATAGATGTTGTGTTTAATCCACAGATTTAACAGGTGTACTCCCTGAATGTAATATGAAATGTGACTCCGAGCCATGTAAAAATGGCGGTATTTGTACCGAAGACTTCACAAACCAAGAGAGCAGCTGTGATTGTGAACTAACAAGTTATTTTGGAGAATACTGTATGGAAGAAAAAGGAGCAGATTTTAATGGCGAGAGCATTTTACAAAGGAAATTTGTTCTATCTGGTCCTATTTTTGAGGCGAGTTAAAATCTTATGAATATTAATTGAATATAATTATAATGTAAATACATTAAAATCTTTTTTTAGGTTAAAATAAAGTTGGCATTCTCCAGTAACGACCTTCGACAAAAGAACACAGTTTTATTGCTTGTGCAAACAGAAAACAAGTGCGTCATAAAAACTTTTTAAATAACAGATTATATCATTTTAATTCAGCTATTTTATTTTATGTTCAATTATTCTTTAGGCGCAGCTATTATCTTCTGGTAGCCATAACGCAAGACGGTTACTTAAAATTCGAAGAAGATCGCGAAGATTCTGCGTATGGAGTAGAATTTAAGAACAGAAACTTTTTAAATGGTAAAACTAGTATTAAATAACTCACTCGATGCACGAAAATGTTTAGATTATATGACAAAAAAGTATTCAATGCCTAAAAAACAAACACAAATTTAAACCAAAGCATAAAAATTGTTTTTATTTAAAGGCGCCCGGCACACAGTATATTATACAAGGTCAGGTGACGAAGCGAAACTCTTAATAGACAGAATCGAAGTGCCTTTGGAGAAGTTACCTCCACAAGATCTTTGGAAGGTGTTTGACGTTGGATTTAATGAGGTGCAAATAGGAGGACTCAATACAACTGATCCACGTCTTAAAATATACAAGGGTTACAATGGATGTCTTTCTAGTAAGTAACAATATAATTGCTGCCAAAAAAATCTGATACTATTAAGACTAGTCTTAATAGTAAATAAATAAATATTAACATGGATTGTTTTCTTAATTTATAATATCGGCCTAAATATTTCGATAACGCTACATTAGTATAAAATTTTAGATATTTTTGTGGAAATAAACGAGCACGTTATGAAACCTCTTGAAGAGTATATGCTTTTCACGCGTTCCGACTCGGAAAAGGTGAACGCAGTTAACGCTCAGGGTGTGAGGAGCGCGCAATGCTCCGCGGACTTTGATGAAGCGTGGCCTGAACACGATCAGCTCGGCGCTACACATAACGGCAGCTTTCTCATCGTATGTGTCTTTTTGAAGTTTTTAATACTCTTGAAATTTGATCTTCTTCTTTCTTCCTCCTTTCCTTGCCCTGAATCCACTTTGTGTTGTCAGCACAACATGTTCTTCTCTTCCATTCTCTACTATCATCTCAACGGTTAACTTTACTCGTTTCCTCTTAAGCTCAATCCATCCATCTTTTCGTAAGTCTACCTTGATTAATCCAACATTCTTCTTATTACATGACATTCATCCCTTCACATAACATGAACATACAACTCTAATATATTACTTCTTAACTATCAAAGTACAACTCATAATTTTATAACCCATTATAAATTCTTAACAAAGATATTGCGTCACTTTTGCCTAAGTACAATACCAGATCATAATTTCATTTATTACTTAAAGACAAAAATCATATTAGATAAAAACAAATTAATCGACTTTCAAAACTCTTTCCTGTTTCTAATAACTATAGTTAATTGTAAAGTAGTTTTCTAACCAACTAACATGATTATGTTTCTACTGAAATAAATATCTGCAAGACTATAATTAATAATATGATAATATGCCATAGAGTGTAGACAAGACTTGGGTAGAGGATCCACCATCCCGCCTGCCCTACGATTCTCTCCACCAACAACCCGACACTGAGGAAGAAAATACAGACAAGTTCTTTATAGCGCTAATAGTAATATTCTTATTGGGACTCTGTTACACAGCGTCGCACGTGAGTTCCTAAATAATAATTCATAACTCAGTATGGAAATAGTTACGTCTTCTGCTTTGACCTAACAAGTTATTTGACCATAAAACATTAAGTAAACTTTTTATGATCAACTAACTGTGGTTAAAGAAAAAGTAATATTTTGGATAAAGTTTTTATGTTTGCAAATATTGCTAATATAAGAATTAACAACGATTTTTTCTTCTAGATGTGGCGTACACACAAAGCCTATAAATTACGTCAGGAAAAAGAAACTGATGAAAATATAATGCGTAGTAAAGAAAAAGCTACAAAACTTCAGGATCCTCAGGCATCATTTTTACCGGTACGTTCAATTAATTTCTTACTGTAATCGTCTATAAATAATAATAATACTACTCGTAGAAAATTATCTACTTTATTTTACATTTAACATGTTCTATTTTTAAAAAGTATAACATATTTTTTTAGCTAAAAGAAATAGAAAATGGCGACAAAAAAGCAAATGGAGTAGTGATAGACTTAGTTCCTACAATCATTGTGGAAGTGAATGAAGAAAAACCTCCAAGCAGGAGAGGTTCACTTCGTTTCCGAGGTAACAATTAAATATTATATTTTTATAAAGTTCACGTCGAAAATCACTACATGGTTTTATATCCTGTAATTAATTGCAGATATGGTAGACAAAGATATAGCTTGGCAACCTCTTGAAGAAAAGGATGAAATTTTAGAAAACGAAGAAGAAGAAGACGAAGCAGAAAAACAAGAACAAAATACTTCAGAAGAAAGTGAAGAAAATAATACAGATAACGACGATGACATTTCGGTATAACATAAGATAGCTCTAAAATAAAAATCATACACTACAGATCACATCTTTACATTCAAATGAGTTGAGAATTAAAAAAATATACGTTAATTGAAGAAGAATGTAATTTAGTAAATATTTCCTTACAGGATCAATTTAAAAATGAACCAATCGACGCCGTCAACGTAGTGAGGAAATTGTCAACACTGTCAAATAAAATAAGCGAAGAAAATTCTATAGAGTTAACTTCAAGTGCATAATCTACTACCAGAAAATAATATCATTCAGGATTTTGGCTGTTCTCTGAATTACTTACTAATGTAATGAAATTAATGTTGTTTTATTTTCCCGCCCCCGAATTTCATTGTACTAAAACTTTCCACACATTATTTAATTTGAAGGAGTCCCAAAAATTTGTATTTTGTCACTGGTGACTATATAAAGACAACAACTCTAATTTATAATTCATTTCAGTATTTTATTCTGAAACACTACTTTAATTCTATTAATTTCTAGTCTAGCTAGAGAAAAGTATGTATTATATTCGATAATTGATATTTCACGTTTAGCATGTGAAATGTATTTTTTAAACTCTGTTCTATAAATTTTAACTCTTTAGGTATGTAAAATTAAATAATTACATTGTCTATGGTCGCTATTTTTAATCTACATCAGAATCAATATACAATTTTCTTATATCTGTACGGTTCGAAACTCTCATTTTTGTTCTATATTTGTTTATGATCAATTTATTTGTCAGTATTTGATTTCAGAAGTGGGTTTTGTCGCGATTGTCATAATATGGACGATATTGAAAAAGAAAAAATTGCAGCATTGCCCTCTCAATTACTGATTACAACAGTATGTCATCCAATGGAATATGCAAAAGTACTTATTCAACTGGGGTACGAGCCCTTACCACCACGGCGATCAACAACTCTTTTCGGCCGGCCTGCCATGATATTACCTAATGTCTTTCAGTACATAAAGTTTATCAAAAAATCGGATGGATTTTTCGGATGCTATAGAGGTTTATCTGCAAGGGTACTCGGACTTATAGCTTCTAGTCAGCTAACGTCCAAGGTAATTTTTGCCTGTGGTATCGACCTGCCTGAAATCAACGACCCTCCAAACATCGTAACTGATGAAGAACCTAAACTAGAAGATTACTACAAACTTGGACGTCGGGATATGATCATGCACACCGCGTCTGTAGTAGTGTCATATCCATTCCATGTTGTGTCGGTTAGAATGATGGCATCGTTTATTGGTAAAGAGGAAGACTACAGCTCGCTCTTGGGTGCTATCGTTTCCATATATCGTGATGATGGAATTCTCGGATTCTTCCATGGAATTGTGCCTAAGCTTGTCGGCGATTTAACCTGTATGGCTGTCACTGGTATACTGGCCTACTATGTCAACAAATATTTGGTTAAAACTAAAGATCTAAGATTTTACACTGTACCGCTGCTGACATTTATAACTAGTACCATCACCTATCCTCTAGTGGTTGTGTCAACATGTATGGCTGTGGCGGGAAGTAGCCTGAGAGCTGGTAGACCTCCTTTGATGCCAGCATACCCATCCTGGCAGTCTTGCTGGCGAGATCTGCTCAAAAACAAGCAACATAAACGGGGATCATCAATTATCTTTAGGTACTACATTGCTCCAATCGCAGCTATGCAATGATTACCTAAAACCTAACATAATATTGCATTTAACCTTTCATTGTTTACTTGCTAAGTGTTATTCCACAATCACCAAAGTAGAGATTATGACCTGTAGAGACTGTAAAATGGTTACTGTAAATAATTTAGTATAAATGGTGTATTATGTGGATTTGTTTTGCTAGATTGCGTTCAGGTGTCGTATTTAAATAAATATATTTTGTTTGACAGTAGTGGTATTATTTGCTATTATAAAAAATAAAAAGACAGTACATAATAGGATTAATTTAATTTTGCTAGTGTTTGAGCTTTGATAAAATCATCAACAAAATTTTTATCCAACATTCCTATAGCCCTCCTATGAATAGAAGGCACAGCTTGTGCATTTCCATACTTCTGTTCAAAGTTTATGTAGTCCATCCAAACTTTAATATTACTCTTGCCATGATGTTGAACTAAGGCCTCATAGCATTTCCTTACATTCTTGAGTGATGGTTTTTCTTGTTTCATTTCAATATCAATCATTATGCTATGTACTTCTTCTTGTGTGGGCGGGGTTCTTATACACTCTTCATAAACTTGCCGTGCTGCCTTCAATCCATTGTGTTCATACATCTTCTTTAAGAGGGTGGGTTTAAGGGTCATAAAAACAACACTTTCACATGTCTGCAGCTTAGAATAACAATTCTTAAACTGCAAAAGAAAGTAATGTTTCATTTTAATGTTGATAATTTTTTTTATGAATCAAAATACAATACAGGTATTATACTTACAACCATATGTGACTCAATATTATCAAAAACAAAACTCCAAAGATATCTAACATCATCAGTTTTTAAAACTTTTGTAGCATCTTTTAGTATTTTCAGAATCATATTCTCATCAGACTTGTGAAGCAAAATTTTCTCTTCCCACAAATATCTATAATGTGGGTTTTTGGCCAATGCTGTGTCCAGAACCTGTTTAATATATTAACACTCTTATAATTAACTTTTAAATAAAAAAAATAGTAAAAAACAAAAAGCAATAAAACTTATAAGATACAATAAATATTACCTCTGTTAATTGTGTTTCAGAAATCTCGCCTTCCAACTTTAACATCTTAATACCAAAAACATACATATCATTACTCAACAACCCATTCTCATGACAGAAGAACCATGCATGTTTAACGGCACTAATCTTTTGTAAATCTGTACACAAATTATCCTTTAAACCGAGTAATCCATGAATGTAGATAGTTGATAGATTTTCATCTGGAAACTAGAGATAAAATAATTGTTAATATAAAACTCTTATTGGACAAATTAATTTAATAAGATATTTTTCATTATATCATCTTATTTACCTGCAGTAAAGCTTCCTCATATACTGCTATATAATAATTTATTTCTTTTGGATAACTGAACTCTTCATTCACATACTCTTCAATATCTTTCCAATGATATCCCTAAAAGAATATATTTGTAGTACATAGCATATTTTTTATTTAAATAGACTTAAATCTTATTAATTACCTCCAATTCTTTAGAAGCGATGTAAGACCAAACTTGCTTTTCAGATCTTCTGTTCCATATTTCATCCTTTATAGAATTTGATATGTCTTCATTAACACCATACCTCAATGATATATCACATAATTTAAATAAATAAGTCACATCCGGAATGTTCTTCATTCCATTTCTCCATACAACATCAGCCCTTTTGAAATTTTTAGCCTATAAAATATACATTAAATAAGTAAATAGACATTTCAAGTGAAATTAAAAAAATATAAATTTATTTTAGAGAAAAAAAGTATAAATTTATTATTAAAATACTTTTTCTGTTTCTTCTTCACTTTTAAAAGCAATCATAAGTTCAATATCAAAAAGGTCTAAGTATAATATATCAGAATTTGGATGTCTGTGAATGCCTTTAAGCAAAAAATTTCTAGCATTTTCTAGATTATTCTGTTCCTTGCTTTCCCATTTGCTTGCCAACTGCCATGTTTTGGGCTTATCACCATGTACCTTAAAAAATTACAAATCTTATACTTATCATATCTTAAATTGATAACAGTTTTTATTATACCAAATATACAGTACTTATAGAATATTAACATTGTTTATTGAATGTTTTTGATTTGATAATGTGACAAGATCATGTAATGTTACAAAGTTGTTTTAAATACAAAATCTTAAAAAGCAATTTTTTAATATAAGTATAAAATTCTTAAATTCTAAGACAATAATTAACATAATAACTAATAAGCAACTTATGGGGCATTAGAAACTTATTATACTATTTTATTTTTATTACAGTTACATTTACTTTTACAATGAAATTTATTATGTCATTAAATTTAGATTATTTGTGAAAATATCATTCAAAAAGATCTCATTGTTTGAACACTGATAAATATTATTTTCATTTTACCAAAAAGCAAAGGATTTAATAGGACTCTGAGACTTCAGGCTGTTATTTTAAATATGAGCTTAAAGAATCAATCATTAATAAAAAGAAAATAATCAACACTAATTAATTAACAACCCCTATCTGAATTAAATATTTTTTGGTATCTAACATTGATAGCTACTAAAAGTTTTTAAATTATATTTCCTAATAATGATTTTTGTAAATAAATAGGCATAGGTCCTTAAGTGACACATGAGCCAGTAGGCCTTACTGAGCCAATAATCTACACTAATACTATAATCCAATTGATAGATGAACATCGCTTATATGTTAAGACATAACAAAAAATATCAAAATATATGACATTAACTAAGTAAAGGTATAGTTTTTACACATACTTTCAACATTTGGTCAATAATAGCAGATACCGCATAATCAAATCCAACGGCTTGACAGAATTTAATGTACTCAAAGTAAATAGCAATGTCGTTTTGAAAACGAAATATAAACTGTTTGAAAACTTTGTTCAGTCTCTTAGCTATAGCATATTCAATATCTTTCTTCTTTTCCCCCAACTTTGCTTGTTTCCTTCTAAGAGAAATATCTTCTAGAAGAGCCAATTCAAATGCTATGTATTGAACAAAGTCGCTTTTCTCTTTTATTCTTCGTTGTATTTTATATTCAAACTCCTTTCGTTTACGGGAAATTTCTCTAAAATTAAATTTACCATTGGAAATTAAATTTATAATGAACTTTTAATAAAAACTTATGTTTTAATCACTTAAACTTGCCTTATTTCACCATCCTCATAAAGATTTGTTCTACGCATTTGCTCCAACTCATTTATCATACCCTCTATACGTTGATTTACTTGTTCAGCCATTTTTACAGAGGATTTTTATGTCAAGTTTGTTTTAAATAATACTTCGCCCACGTCTGTTAAATAAAACCAACACAATACAAACACGCGAGAACACGGCTATAATTTAAGGTTATGTTTACATGAATATGTCAGGTACTAAATGTCATCTGTCATAAAATATCAAAAGGATAGTATACGTTATTATACTGTGCACTTCTTTGTACGGATGAAGACCATATTATAAAAAATAAAATAAAAATACTATACATATATAGGTAGGCAGTTACTTATTTATACCTAGTTCTTTACATTAGCATTTGTTATAAAAAGGAAAAAACAAATAAAGAATACTTTATAGGCTTTCTTGTAAGCTAAGATAAGATCAAAGTTTAGGATTAAGTTAAAATGTGACCATAACAAGATAAAACTTTTGCCATATACCGTAATACTTTAAAAATTATGTTACACATTTGATCAGAATATATATTTCCCAATTTATTCAAACGTTTCGATACATACATGGCGAATATTAATCTTAGCAATTAAAAAGTCTTCGTCATTGAAACATATGTATGAGATGAAAATTATAATAACAGAAACCTTAAACTACATTTAAATATTGAAGTTGGAAATAAACGCTCTGTATTTTGAGTAAGTCTTTTCTAGAAATTAAAAGAAATACAAAATCTGAATAATGCAACTGAATGTGAAGTTTTTTCTTTACAAAAACAAAGATATAAATTTTACAATATTTCTATGTTTAATGTTTTTTTTTGTGTTATGCTTTATGTCTGCATTAATATCAATAAAGTTCTAGACTCTTGTGGGTTCACATATTTTTACTACCTAAATAAATACTGTTATGTCAAATAGTTTATACTTTATAGTAATTAGTAATGTCAATTGTCAAGATCTCGTCACAAAAAACCGCGTTAACTCAATTTCTCGTAAGTCTATTTAATAAAATAAACAATATTTTAAACTCCTCAAGAAATAAGAGTGAAATTTGTAAATAAAGTGAAGGAATGTTGTAATTGTAATAAATCATGGAAGAAGATCTCAATCGTAAAAAGAAGAAGGCGACAAACAGTGGCGACAAACGAGCTTTAGCAAAAGCTTGTTCTGATTTAGCAAACTTTTATTTTTCTCAAGCTCGATATAATGATGCTCTTGACGAGTTTAAAAATGAAGCCGGGATATGGAAAGAGCTTGGTCGAACTCTGGAATGGGGTACATGTAACCGGATGATGGGCGAAGTATTTACACTCATGGGAGAGTTTGACAAAGCTCTTAAGTATGAAGAGCGGCATTTAGGTAATATCTTAGTTAGTTTTGCGGTTGTATGTAAAATGCCTATACTATTAAAGTTTCAGCAAATATTTTTTTATTTATAAAAAAGAAAGAATCAATTATAAGAGTAATTAGATGACTGTTTCAAAAATATAAATTGTATATGAATACAATAAGTGTTAACATGTGGTAAAATTACTTATTTCCAGTTGTAGCAAGAGATTTGAATAATTTAGTAGAAGAACAAAGGGCTATGGCTACATTAGGCAGAATATATCTTTTAAAGGGGCAAAGTTCTACAGACAATGGTGAAACAAAAGACTTATTGATTGAAGCAGAGAAGGCCTTTATGAAAAGTCTAGTGCTGTGTCAAAAGTATGATTTTTAACTACATAAATATAAAATATACTATAATCAATCTATATAAATAATTGTTAAAAATTTCAGACTAAATGGAAAAATATCTGAGGCAGAACTTATGGATATGAGGGCTCGTCTTCTTCTCAATATAGGTGTTGTCCAAGAACACTTGGGATATCTCGACAAAGCTATTGATTTTATACAGAAAGCCACATCTATTTCTGCTAAAAATGACTTGTATGAAGTTTTACATAAATGTTATACCACAGAATCATTGCTTTATTCAAATAAAAAGAAAGACTTTCATAAAGCTTTGAACTGTTTGAATAAAGCTTTAACTGTGGCGGGTAGACTCGATAATGAGGTATGATTTGGAAACTATTCCCTTTTCAATTTAATTTTTTATGGCTTCAATATCTCTATTAGTACACAACACTTGAATATATTATAGACGATCAAATAATCTTTTGTTTATTATAATTTTGACACTATGCATCCTTTTTTTCTGTTGATCATTAGAAAAAATAAACAGTTTATACTATTAGACATGAGAAGTTTTTGCATTTACTATATAATGAAATAATATTTCAGATTTTAAAGAAGTGTGAAACGCTGTCAGCTAAAGCTGATATTTTGTGTCAGATGTCCGACTATCAGAGTGCTAAACAGGTTTTGATGAAGGCCTGGAAATTGAAAACTCCTGATGAAGAGGAGAGAAACAATATTGAGAGTATTCTTAAAGTTGGTAAGTATTTTGTTCCATATAAGTGTTTGTGGAAGTCAATAAACCACATTAAAAAATCTATAATATTAGGTTACTCTGGTTGTATTATATTTAACAATATTTCAAACTCTCAAGAATTGCTCTTTCTGCCAGATACTTATATAAGAGGAATAGAATACTTTGTGTTAAATTGAAAAATTATAACTGTAATCCTGAAAAACAAAGCAAAATCTTTATTTTTGATAACCTGATTGTTTTAATAATGAGCTATGACATTTGAAGCAATATTTTTTAAATTATTTATGATAATAAAAATTAATAAAATTGATAAATTAAAATAAGTGTAAATTACTCTTTATACCCTCTAACCGCCAGTTAAAGTGCAAACAAAATAATGTAGCCATTTAAATGATTAGCTAGAACAAACAGAGACAATATTATAAAAAATATTTTACTACGTACCATGTATCAATAAGCATATAGCAAAAAAGTGTTTTTATAGTTATTACAAACATACTAAGATAATCTTCTACAATTGCAGTTGTAAAAATGTGTGAAACAGAAGATAGATTGGTATCAACCGATTGTAATGACTATGCTACATTGAAAAATTTGTATGAAACCATGGGAGATGGTGCATGCTTTGTACGTAATTACTCATCAGCGGTTAATTACTATCTGAAGTGTTTAGACAATGCTGTAAAGGCAGGGGAAGATGGAAAAAGCCTTGTGCCTATATATGTCAGGTGACTTTACATTAATATCTTCTAATAAGTTATACAGACAAAATAGTAATAATAGACTAAGTTATGCAGATAAAACATAATTAATCTGTGATTATTTAGTATTGAATTTTAATTTATTTATGCATAAAGTTGGTAAACCTTAGATTATTTAATATATCTTTAGTACTATAATCACTGTCATTGTACGGGTTTGTACATTAAAACTATGCGCTGGTTCGGTTATTCACTATTTATTTTCTACACGAATTACAATTCTGAACACTGTTAATAATCTTCCGTTTCACTGTTCGCTGTTGAAATCTTCCGTAGTTCTTGAGTTCCGCTGACTGATGTTCTTCCGAGCGCGCAGGCGCTCGCCCAATCAGGAGCTTGCGTTGTCGAGCGTAGTTGCTCATACGACCATTTTACAGTTACAAGTTGTTTCTATTTTACATTCTACATAGTTTCTATATTTTTATTTACTATACTATGTTTATTTACATTAATCTTACGCTATATCTTTATTAACATATTACAAGTTTCTATCGCTGTTTATTTTACATATATATTATATTCTATACTATTTCTATGATGCTATCCCGCACAGTCATATACTAAAAAAAAACTTTTCCTAGTAATCTTTTTTGAGCAATACATTTGTGTAATGTTGATAATTTATTTTCAGTATATATCAAACATATAAGGACATGGGAATGTATCAAGAGGCTTTGGAATATTATTATAAAGAATATGAAATAATCAAAGATGTTCCAAAAGAGGCATACACAACTTTGTATAATACAGCAGAAGTATTGTTCAGTGCTAAGAAACCTTATGATGATATTGAAAAAACCTGTTTTGAGGCAAGAGAAGCTGTAAGTTAAATTTATTATATACTTAGAATGTACTTATCAAATTATTAAGTATGTAATGGTATATTTAATACAAAGAAACTCCAATTAATTATTATTATACTATTTCATAGATTTTTTAGTTCATTGGATAAAAAATTAGTTAATAAGATCGACGACTTTTGCGTGTATTACATAATTTAAATAAAACGTATTTTTTTGGAGTTACAATCTGCCTGTGATCCATGGTTGCTGCAAAGTAACCGAAATGTCAGAAATCTAAAAATATTAGCTTTATTTAAAAAAAAATATTTATATCCAACCAAGCAAAGTTTAGAACATGGCATTCTTTTATTCAACAACACAAACTTTTTCCAGGCAAAACAATTATACAATAAGAAATACGAGATCCGAATTTTAAAGAACCTTTTGAAGTATCAAGAGTATTATTTTGAACTTGATAAAATGGAAGAAACTAAAGCAGATTTATTTGCATTGGGTGATGATTGTGATGAACTGTCAGATGATGAACAGAGCACCGGTGATGAACCTCAAATAGGTGATGATGTATGCCTAGCGGATCTTACAGGTTTGTAGTCTTTATGCAAATATATTTTAAGTATTTTGAAATTAGTTTAACTTTATATATATACTAAAGGTACATTGTCTATTCTCTAATCAATTCTATGATATAGATAATGAAAGAGTTCTTAATTAATACAATATTTTTTAGATAATTATCTTACAATATACATATATATTCCAGATTTATCAGACAATGATGAAGAGAGCGCTGAAATAAATAAGCCTCGCAGGCGTGGCAAAGGTTTCGCTGTAAAGAAAAATGCCAAGGGTGAAACTCAATTACATGTTGTAAGTATTACTAAACAGAAAAATATATGTAATTCTTAAACATAAGTATTAAAAACAAAATATAAGAATTCACTTTAGTACTATTTCAACACAAAACTGTCAAAAATGGGGAATGATATACCTACATATACCTAACTAATGCTCTTCTAGAGATTATTGATAATGATTAATGACTAAATAACTTGGGTAAATAATCCTTACTATAATATTATAAATGCGAAAGTAACTCTGTCTGTCTGTTACGCTTTCATGCCTGAACAACTGAACTGATTTTAATGAAATTTGGTACAGAGATAGAGTTGACCTTGAGAAAGAACATAGGATAGTTTTTATCCCAGACTTTTGAAATGTTTTTTTGGAAACGCGATATAACCGAACTTCACGTAGTCGAAGCTGCGGGCGCAAAGCTAGTGAGTAATAATATTTAAATTTAATGTTTTTCAGGCGTGTATATCTGGTAATAAGGCATTAGCTGAGCGTCTATTGGCTCAAGGTCATCCCGTGAATGCTCGTGATCACGCGGGCTGGCTGCCACTTCACGAGGCCGCTATACACGGACATTATGACATAGCTAAGATGCTTATAAACAATGGCGCCGCTGTCAACGACAGGGGCGGTAGTCAGTGTGACGGTGAGTGACTGGTTTAACATACTGTATAATGTCACGTGACATTATACAGTGTGTTTAGTCAATGAAATTGTTGATATTATACAGTTGTTGTTAGAACATATTCAAAATAGTCATATGTTGTAGGATTCATCAGTGTTACTTATTGCTTACCCATTACATTGTATGTATTATTTGTATGTCTACAAAAAATTATGGTAGCGATACTTTTAGTTATAAAATTAACAAAATATGCTGCTATATATACAATACCATTTATGGGATCTGATGGGACAAGTTTCTGACCCGACAATCACTACTAAAGAAATATTATTAATATGGTTTTTTTAATATCTGATTTTAATCCATACAGGTATAACTCCTATTTACGATGCAGCTTGCAACGGCCATCTTGATGTTGTCCAGTTATTGCTTGAGAACGGTGCAATACCGTCCCTTAAAACAGATTTTGGTGAGACACCATTGCACGCGCTGCAGAAATGGCGAACTACAACCATCCTAACAAAGGACGAAGAAATTTTGTACTCTAATATATGCAATAAAATACATAATTTGTTGGGCAAAACAATTTCGGACCAACCCAGGACGCCTGTTAAATCTATCCAAATAGAATCTCCACCGAGCACATCGAAAATGTCTAATAGCAACAAACAATTAGATTCTCCTGCACTCAAAAGGCGTAATATTATCGATGATTTAACTGACGACGATGACTGTTCGAATACAAGAAACCAAACAGCTTTTCCATCCGACTCTAACTCATCCGATGACGACGCAGATAAAGGTAAAGATAAAGAAAGGAAAAAGACTAAACGTTCCGGGGTAAAGGAATATAAAAATGCTATATCCGCGTTAAGAAATAGAAGCTTCGAACTGCCTGAAGTAGACTTAAGACCGTCCAAACCAAAACCTGCGCTGTTACAACCGAGCGAGGTCGATGACGACTGGTTGGAAGATGACTTGGGTGTTAATAGGACTAAGAAACGAAAACTCAGTGATCCAATGACGACCTTGCCTAAAAGATCATATAACGATATAAAAAATAGCATCGATCTCTTAAATGACATCGAAACACTGCAAAAGGACAGTCCCAAAAAGAAAACACGTGTTAGTGACATTGAAATCAGTGATAATAGTTCTGATTCAGATCTATACCAAGCGAACGTGAGTGATAAGAACGAACCGTTGAGAAATATATCAAGGGAGCTCAACGAAACAAGATCAAAAGACAGCAGGGATGGTATGAGAAGAAGGTGGAAAAGACAAAGCACTTTATTGAGAGCTGGCTTCCAAAGAAAGAAATCCACCGAACTATCCAGCAATAGCAGCAGTGATAATGAAACAAGTAAACGCGAATCCACAATATTCTCTAGAAAAACGCACAATGAGAACGTAAATTACACAAATTGTAAGGAAAATCCGAAAATAGTACAAAATATGAACCCAAATGTAATCCTGCCAATGAATGTAATACAACCGATAAGTATCATGCAATCGAAGAATGGAAAAGCGATGCAAACACAGATTCTACCACCAGCCGCTGTGAAAGTTAAAATCGAAGATAAGACTTTATTAATATCGTTGAAATTGGATAAAATTAATAATCTGACAATCAGCTGGCTGGTCGAGGAAGTTAAATCTAGATATTACAAGTGAGTTAATAAAAACGAAATATTATTCTGTTACAGTGATGAATATTTAACATATAATATACTATTATTTAAACATTTTTGATATTTCCTAATGTTTTTCATATGTATGTTTCCAGACTCACAGGAGTCCGTCCTATATTCAATCTGATGACTTCAGATGGTGCTATATTATCTGAAGATGACCCTCTAAGCCTTGTTCTATCAACGCCCGAATTACAAACATGTATGACAACATTCAAAGCATCGCCGGCGGAAGAACGATACTTGGAGTGTTGTGACGCACTGGATATAAGTATGTGTTAATATGTTATAATTATAATTAGTAAATATTTTACCTACAAATCGATCTGACATGTTTTTTTTACTATTTATGAAATAGTTCCAAGGATTTTATATTTCAAAAGTGTCCTGATGCTATTTAAAATAATAATAATTTTCAATTCTACTTATACAATACTTAAAACAATAAATTCGTAAATTTGTTTGTGTACATTCATTACATAAACCATAAAAGGCTTTTTTGCCAACAGCTAGTAACACTGTCCAATTACATAAACTAAGGATCCCAAAAAGCAATGTTAAATAAATATGGACAGTTCTGATCTGTAATTGTCAGTAATAAAAAATATACCTTTCTTTTATAGGTCCATCAGAAGAAATTCAACAAGTTGTAGGAAGAAGCCACACAACGAGAAGATTAGCTTTAGGACCTTCTACCCTTCCATCAACACAAATACGACCACTCTTCAGAGCACTAACACATCAGACACATATAACAGCTATTTTGATACCAGATAATAATATACAAGATGAGGAAATGAAGTACTTAACTGATTGTATATGTACATTGAAGCATTTGACGGTGTTAGATCTAAGTAAAAATAAAATAACTGGCGAAGGTGTAAAATTCTTAGCTAATGCCTTCGAAAAAGCCAGGAACAACTGCCAATCGTTAGAAAACATAGATTTAACTGATAATCCTATATCCGACGAAGGTTTTAAAGCGATAGTAAATCTGAGTAGACATGTAAAATTAAGAATTTTGAAATTGAACGACTGTGGTATAACATATAATATTGCTAATGAAATCACAAAATCAGATATGAATTTCGATACATTAGAAACATTGCATATAAGTAATAATTTTATCAAGCAGAGATTGGTCAATTGTTTAATGTCGGCTCTTAATTTTAATGTTTTGTCTGATCTGGAGTTGGATAATATTGGTTGTGAAGGTGGCGTGGTTGGATGTATAGCACATTTTATGGGTAATGCCAAGGATTTGAAGATAAGAAGATTCAGCCTATCAGACTGTAAATTAACTGATGAACAGTTCAAACTAATTTTCAAGTATGTATGTTCTATTTAAAATTTTAAAGAACACATTTTATTGTTATTCTTAAATATGATTTATTATTTTTTGTAGATGTCTAGGCCGTGCAAGAAATTTGCAAACACTAACATTGAAGAACAATCAAATAACATTTGTTACATTGAAGAAATTATTACAACGGCAACCAGCGGTGCCACAAATTAATCTTGAAGGTTGCCAGGATATATTTAAATATTCTCCGGACTTGGATCTAAAGGTTTGGTTGCCAGCTATCGACTTTGGAAGATGCATTCCCATTATGAACCTTACCCCTGTGTGTAAAACTGATGAAGAAAAGGAAAGTTTAAAATTGTTTTCCAAAATATGGCTGAGTTGTTTTAAGGGCAGAGGAATGATTGAACATGGCAGTGGTGGCCTAATAAAATTCACAGCTACATGTAATAATATTGATTAATAAGTTCAGTGTTTGATATTATAGATTAATAAACTAGACAATAGACAAATACTGAGAAGATGAAAAACAAACATTTTTTTTAAAATAGTACACAGACTACTTTTCACAGTGAATGTCTATGGTTTGTTTGTGTAATATTGTCTATGATGACCAGTGTTCATAAAATATTTTTATATTGTAATTTTGATATGTAAATATTTAGTTTTTCTTAACTTTAACCGCCTGCCGATTAGTTTTAACATTTATACTTGTTATTCCATATCAAGCTTTAAATACAGAATTAGCAACAAATGTCTTTTATAAACAATTTTGAGTGTTTACATGTAATATGTTACTTAAGTTATTTGTGTGATTGAATTTTGATAGTAATATTTGTAAATAATAAATTTGTAAGATGTGAGTATTATTATTTTTCATCCCCACTGCTTGTAATTACTTTTTTAAGAATTAAAAAATATTAAACCCATAACTCTTCGTGAAAACAAAAACATGATGGTAGAAAGCTGACATTAACGTGAAAAACGGATTAGATATGATTTTCTGCAAATAGATAATGATATAGATGTGAAAGTTTACGCAAGGTACAGAAAGCTAAGGCTACCAATTTTTGTACATTTCTAGTTGTCAATCTTTATTATTCTCAGGTGGCAACATTTTTGTATATATAACCTAAGCCGACGGGTATTCGTACACAAGTAATTTTTTTTTATACGGGAGTTCTACAATTTTTAAATATCGGACGTTTAATATTGAGTAGAATGTTAACAATCAATTATGGTTTTGGTTTTTCAGTATTCATGAAATTTATGATTCAAATTATAGTTTTTTTTTATTATTAAAAGTAAGAAGTGAATTAATTTACTGGACTATGTACAAAAATAGTTTTTACACTTTATGTAAAATAAAAGCTTTAAATCCAAGATAATATTGAACACTATTATGTTACGTCAAATGGCGATTGAGGTTTTGACACAAGTAAACAAAACCAAAACATAGATGACGCTAGCAGCATTGTGTTGCTATTTGTTAAATGTTAATTTTGTTTGAAAATTGTGCAGGAGGGTGTGCTGTAACAGGACGCTATTGTGTACTTCATTTTTCAATTGAAAACTGAATGGTAACTCTATCATTTAGGTTTGTAATAAATAAGCAAAATAAATATACGGTATCCTGTAAAATATGAGTTGTGTACAGTGCTAATTTGATATTTCTAAAGGAGTTTCAATATCTGGCATGACGACGACTTTAACAGTGGCTGTAAGTTTTGTTTTTATTACGTATTTAGCATTATTTTAATTTCAAATCTTTAGTGTTTAATAAATTTTGAATATTTATATTTTGTCATTATATTAACATGCTTTGCAATTTCAGTAAACTAAGAACTTTTCTTTTAATTCTTTGAATATAAAATGATAAATCATAATAATAATACAGTATATGATATTTATCGAACTTGTAAACTATGTATTAATATACAGACTTATTTATGTATTCTTTCTTAATGTACATTTTTCTTTTTATAATTCTACATTCAGCATTCTGCTGGATTGTTTTGTTTCAATTTTAATTCTTTAAGACTTATTTCAATTATTATTTAATATTAATAAAACAACTCTATTCAATGAAGTTTACTCTGGATATAAGAATTATAACAAAGTAAAAGATATTTTTCTATATAATGAGTTTATTTCACACATTCTGTTACAAAAAACTTCAACAAAACTCTTCATGAATTTTATTTATCATAATAAATTAAAATAATTAAATATTATAATTTTAGGGATTTGTTTGTTTTTATTCAATGCTAAAATTTTGTCTTCTCACTCTTTATGAGTTATTAATTTAACTAATCATCCGGTAATAACTCAAGTTGTAAGTTTAGTACAAAAATAAACAAATTATCTTTCCGTTCATAAACAAAAAACATTTCCATTAAAATTATAATCAAAACTTCTTTTAAAAAGATTATATAATTGACTATGCAGACTTAAGATCTTACACAAATAAGAGAAAAAAAAATTGTGTACCGAACACTTCAAACTGGAATACATAGATTTTTGGCATTGTTTTGTCATAACTAATATTTCTAAATGAAAAATTAATACAGACAAATGAAAATGATTCTTCTCTTAAGTAATATATAATGATGAAGTTCTTTATATCGTTGGCATTCAGTTTCTAGTCATTGACCAAGCGGCGCCATATCAGGCGCCATACTACGGCCTTCCCTATTTAATGAATTCGCTTGGACTCGAATTAGTTATTACGAATTTTTGCAGCAAGACGCTCCTCTTCCTGATTTGCATAACAAATAGATAAATTCGATTGTCGGATTCCGATTCATGTTGGGTTTTAAACATACTATTTAGTATTTACCTATACTTGAGTTCAAAAAATGTTATGTATTTATAAATATATTGTATAAGTACTTAATATTTATAATTTTTAAGAATTCCATACATAATACGAAGTTAAGATTTTGTATTACCATACCTACAATAGGAACGCAAAAATAATATATTTAAAAAAAATAATTAAGCTGAATAACTAACTTTTAAATACTCAATATGTACAAGGGAACAACATTAAACGTAAATAGTCTATGTTAGAATTCAATGGATCGATTTAAATTTAATTCCTATTTCAAAAATGCAGTGAAATATGTTCCTAAAATATAAACCTCAAATAGGAAACGACTGCTTCAGGCAAACTTCACCTGTGATATCGTGGTAGCAATCCGTTCTGGAAATAAACGCGAAAATGGCCGACGAACCGGCAAAAGTGGGGCAAGAAAGAATATCTTTACGTACATATTTATTCACATTTCAAAGCATTTTCACTTTGTACATCTGATTGTTTATAATTTTTATTAATATATTTAGTATATATGTATAACATTTTTTAAAAATTTTAGATAGATATTATTGGTCAGTTTAAAACTATAATCCAACAATCAATTAATTACGTATCTTAATTACTTTCTAATCATTTAAGAAGTTCAGTTTGCGATAGGATTATCTTTTTCCGGAACATGTTCTCGGTAATTATTGATTTTTATGATGAATTTATTGTTCAAGCTTGATATATAAAACAAAACATTATGACTGACTGCGTATTTATATTCAATTACTTTGAACTGATCGCGGAAGGTGTCAATGGATAGAACGACCATTTAAACTTTGTCTCTACGACCGTAATGGTTTGGTATAAATTCCGTGTAAACAAGGGATCTTCTAACAATGGATTGTCAGGAGCCATTGATTCACGCAACGGATTTTAAACGATGCATTCATGGAAGTGAACGCGTTCCGTTACATCTAGAGGTGTCCGAATCGACTTTATCATGATTCTGGTTCTAATTAAAGCGAAATGATTCAGCGAACTCAATTTTAATTTGTTTTGAAAATTGGCATTAAGTCTAACCGTATCTCTTTAATAGCAATAAGTGTGAAATTCCTAATTATAGCTGCGGTTTCTTTATTAAATGCGTAGACCTTAATTAACTTTTATGGTAATTATTTAATAATACTTTACACAACGCACTTTTTTAAAATGATCAGTTTTCACGAGTTTTCTCTGTGAATATTAAAATCTGTTTTCAATATCGCTCTTCAACGAATGTCCTGTAAAAAGTTATCAATTTTTTTTTTTTCATCAAATACAGTGTCATTCGTATGACAAAAACCTCGTATTTATTTGAGTTTGAGCGTATTAATAACTTTAAATGTTTCGTTTCTAAATTGGGTAAACGGGTTAAGTAACTGTGACAGTCAGCACGATATAGCTTTTCAAGTTTCCATTCATTCGTTAAATCTCTTAAAATATAACAAAGCAATGACCGGAAAACTGAATGGTTTTATTCTAGGAGTCATCTATTATGCATCTACCGGTATCCAATCACAGGCGCAAACCCTAAACGAAAATCGTTACCTTTCTAAAAGTGGAACGGGAGAAACGAATGACAAAATTAAACCACATCACACGCCATGCAAAAACTGCTATTATTAAAAGGGACGGAGTTAAAACTTTTGCTTCAACGTTCGTGTATTAACGAGAGCTAAGCGTCGTTCTATTTCTGTGTGTTTAAGTTTCTTTTCGTAAGCCTAAAATGCAAGGATGATTCAGTGTATTTAGATGAGTTATTCTACAATTATAATAAGCTGTACGACTGGTAATCCCACGCTTAGCGTGGGTGGACGGTAGACTTGTCCTCTCCGGGTGTAATTCTTATCTTATCACCAGTTTTTATTTCTCATATATTTATTTATTGTTTTTACTTACTGATTTCAGTTCGATACAATCTGTCTTGAATTTTTATTGTTCATTTATTAATGTCTGAGCCAGATATTAATTCATATATGCAAATCATATAATGTATTTTAACACGGCGTTATGAGCATCGCGTGTGTTAGAAAAAGTCGTTTGATTACAATTATTGCACTGCAGTTATAAATATTTTCCATTGCAAGTTTATCAATATTTCGCATATTGCAATGTTATTGTTAAACGATTCTTTGACTTTATTTCCACATACATTTTTTTATAACAAATCTAATAGTATATTTTGGATGAGTCAGTCGTTATAGTGTTCTGTGTAGGAGACATTGCTATACATATATTAGACTTACTTCTTTTGAGAACATCAATTGAATTGTATTATCCTTTGTGTTAAATCTTAAGGATTATTTTAACAGCAATAAATGCAATATTGTTATTCTTTACTAGATATTACTTAGAATACTAAGGTAAAAAATAAAACAGACTCTCAGATATAAAAGCACAATATTAGTAGAATTTGTATATATGCTAGCAATTATATTTTTATGAAGCCCTAATGATTTTTCTGTTACATATTTAAATTGTTTTCATCAGTGGATCTCAATTAGATATAAAGTATTGATGTAATGCACCTCAAACTTTATATTGCACGCGTAAAGTTACTGAGATTGTTAAGTCTACAAAAGTGCAATTCAACAGAATCGTAAACAACTTTTATATTA